AAGGCATGTGCCACTACTCTGGGCCTATGTCCCACCTTCTTAACTACTCACTTTCTTCACAGTATTTCAGTATTTCCAGTATTTTTTTTTTAATCTTTTTTTGAGACAGGGTCTCCCTGTAGCCCCAGCTGTCCTGAAACTCACTATGTAGACCAGGCTGGCCTTGAACTCACAGAGATCCTCCTGCCTCTGCCTCCTGAGTGCTGGGATTAAAGGCATGCGCTACCACGCCTGGCTTATTTATTATTTTTATTGTGTATGTGTGTATTGCCTGCATGTATGTAAGTGCACTTGTGTCGTACAATGCCCGCGGAGGACAGAAGAGCAGAAGAGGCTGTCGGATCCTCTGGAACTGGAATTAGGGACAGTTGTTAGCTGCTATGTGGGTGCTGGGATTCAAACCCATGTCTTCTGCAAGAACAGTCAGTGTTCTTAACCGCCGAGCCATCTCTCCATCCCCAACACACACACTCATGGCTTTTACTACCACAGATGAGGACACTCAGCCTCTGGCTTCAATTCCTGTCTCTCAAGTGTCAGACCTGCAAATCCAAAGCTTTCCTTGGAAGTCCCTACTCAGATATCTGACAGCCACTAAAAGTATTATATGCAAAATCAAACCCACCAAACTCCCTCTCTTCCCACCATCTACCCAAGAATTGACCTCGAAAGCCCCCCCTTAATGCTATTGATTCTTCCCTCCCAATCTCTCCAGAATTTTGCTTCATCCCCATGTCACCTTTACTTCTCACCTAGATTACTCTACTACCTAACTGATCTCTCAACCATTGGCTGTACTCCAGCCAGAGTGAACTTCCAAGGGCAGAAGTGAGCATGTCCTCATTCTGTTTACAATATTGCACTGGTTCCCCCCTGGCCCAAGGGTGTCCAAACTCAGCACAGGGACAGGGCCTCTAACAACCTGTGACCTGTCCCCTAACAGTGCCATATTCATTTCCCATGATCAGCACCTCCCATCCCTCCACTTGTTATTCCTGGGACACAACACTGCCTCATGCCTCCAAAGCCTTCTGCCCTTAACTGCCCCTTCTACCTGCCTAGTCTTTTTTGTCCCTGCTTTTACCCCTCTACACCTGCTAGGCTAACTTCCCATTGTCCAAATAACAGTCCAAAAGTCACTTTCTGAGGGGCGTGGTGGTGCATACCTTTCATCCCAGTACTCAGGAAGCAGAGATAGTTAGATCTCTATGAGATGAAGGCCAGCCTGGTCTATAAAGCAAGTTCTAGGCTAGCTAGGGTTACAGGGAGACCCTGTCTCTTACACACACAAAAAAACCCAAACCCCAAGATCTCTTTCCTATCAAGCCTTCCCTTTACCTTCCCACTCAGTTCCTCTGTATACTTTCCTGTGGTATGCACTTCACCTGGCATGGTGCTAATCCTACATGTAATACTGTTTACTGAACACCTGTCTCCTGGGGGCAGGACAAAGACTCAGTGACCTCTCTATCCCAGGGCACAGGGCAGCTGTTCAGTACACAGGAGGAAGATATGGCCTTTGCCCTCAGTTTTTGACCTTCTAAAGGTACCTACAGCCAGGGCTGGAGAGATGGCTTAGTGGTTAAGAGCCTATACTGCTCTTCCAGAGGACCCAAATTCAGTTCCCAGCACCCATGTCCAGCAGTTCACAACCACCTGTAACTCCAGCTCCAGGGGATCCAATGCCTCTGGCCTCTGTGGGCACCTACACCAATGTGCACATACTCCCACACAGAGACACACATACACAATACACATGATTTAAAATAAAAATAAATCTAAAAGTATATTAAAAAGAATCGTTTTGGTCTTTTTGAGACGGTCTCCCTGTAGCTCCAGCTGTCCTGGAACTCACTATGTAGACCAGGCTGGCCTGGAACTCACAGAGATCCACCTGCCTCTGCCTCCCGAATGTTGAGACTAAAGGCATATGCCACCATACCCGGCTTAAAAATATATTAAAATATTTTTTAAAGATACATAGATGGCCAGACGTGGTGGCACACACCTTTAATCCCAGCACTTGGGAGGCAGAGGCAGGCGGATCTCTGTGAGTTCAAGGCCAGCCTGGTCTACATAGTGAGTTCCAGGACAACTGGGATTACAGGGAGACCCTGTCTCAAAAAGACCAAAAAAAAAAAGCCAGAGAAAAGTTAGAATTCAATGGCATGCAATAACAAATTTTACACATGGTGGGGTTGCCCATGTGGGTACACAGACATGGATGAAGCACTGAAGGGACACAAGTAACTTTTTGAATTCATCAAGAAAGGTGACTTTTGAACTGGTTTATCATTCATTCCATTCATTCACAGAATAACTGGGCAGCTACTTGGGACCAGGCACTGTTCCAGCAACTCAGGATACCACAGGAAATAAGACAGACATTGTCCCTCCCTTCTCGGTGCTCATTTTAGACCGAGGCATATATTAAATAAGATCATCTCAGATAATGATACGTTCTCTTCTTTTATTTTTTTGGGACAGGGTTTCATTCTGTAGCCTAGACTGGCCTAGAACTTACTATGGAGTCCAGGCTAGCCTCAAACATGCAAGTGATCCTCCTGCCTCAGCTTCCCAAGTGTGCAGTTATTGGAGTGAGCCACCATGGCCAGCTTATAATACATGTTTGAAGGATATAAAACCTTGTACATGCTTCCCAGGGTTGAAAGTAGAAAGGTGTGTGTAGAGGCATGATTTGAATCTAACCTGAATTCGACAGAGCCAGTCATTCAAGGAACTTTATACTGTCCCTGGCAGAGGGAACGATGAGACCCACTGGTTCAAAGGACAGAAAGGAGGCCGCTATGACAGAAACACAATGAGTATTTTTATCTCCAGCCTAGATTTTGTCCTTGAATTCCAGAATCACAGAGCTAATTGCTAACTAAAAATCACCACAGGGATATCCAAAAGGCATCTTGACCTCCATGTGTACAAAACACCCTATTTTCCTTCTCCAAACCAGCTCCTTCACACTCTAGTAAATGACAATTCTACCGCTTACAATCATTTAAGCTAAAACCACTGGGTCATCCTTAACTCTGTCCCATGCCCAACCCAACAACAAATCTTACTAGTTTCACCTTCAGAATATCTCCACAATATGGGAAGAGGGTGAATGTTAGTAAAGTACAATGATATACATGTATGAAAATGTATAACAAAACATTATTTTATATAAAAAATGAGTAATTTTTTTGTGGTCTTTTTTGAGACAGGGTCTTCCTGTAGCCCCAGCTGACCTGGAACTCACTATGTAGACCAGGCATGAATAACAAATTTTTAAAAGGAAAATGGTGACACATGCCTTTAGGCCCAGCACTCGGGAGGCAGAGGCCAAGTGAGTCTACATAGCAAGTATATATATATATATATATATATATATATATATATATATATATATATATATATATATATATATATATATATATATATATATATATATATATATATATATATATATATATATATATATATATATATATATATATATATATATATATATATATATATATATATATATATATATATATATATATATATATATATATATATATATATATATATATATATATATATATATATATATATATATATATATATATATATATATATATATATATATATATATATATATATATATATATATATATATATATATATATATATATATATATATATATATATATATATATATATATATATATATATATATATATATATATATATATATATATATATATATATATATATATATATATATATATATATATATATATATATATATATATATATATATATATATATATATATATATATATATCCAGAATTCAACTATTTTGTGTCACCTCTGCTGCCACCCTGGTCAGTACTGAAGCACTAGGATCTTGTCCTTCATGAAGAAGGATCACCCAAGAGTCCCTAGGACTGGGCAGAGAAGTGACGGCATGTGCTTACAGTAAGCACATCAGAGCCAGCTCAGACCACCTCACAAGAAGCAACTGTTAAAGTTCTGGCAATGTTTCAAGATGGCTGACACCGTACCGACAGCTGGATTTGGGCACACTGCGAGTATTTATACCACAGATATTATCGTTAACATTGCAGTTCAGGGTTTCTCCCCACCCCAGGGATCTGAGTGTTCAACACTAGCACACAACTAACTACACAAATCTGTGCTACAGTGAGCTCTGGTAGGAGTCACACAGTTCTCTATAGGCATCTATGTTGGTGTGAGCCGAACCTTTTTCTACATGCATTTGTTTACCTGCCACCTGCCTACCTCTGCTCGGCTATAAATCAGGAAATAAGGATCATTTTTGTTTCAAGACTATTGATGGTCATGCAAGTGAGAAATAAGGAAACCAACAAGGGACAAAAGAGTTTTGTTTTGTTAAGGCAGCATCTTGCTATGGAGTTCAAGCTGGCCTTGAGCTCAGGATTCTCCCACCTCAGCCTCCCAAGTATGTCGGGATTACAGGTGTGTTGTATACCACCATACCCAATGGAAGAGAGTTTTAAGAGCTACTCAGAGGTAGAATAAATGGGTTTTGAGAGAGCCAGGTTTCTATCCTTCCTTCTCATCCTCACCCCTTAGCTGGGAATCACAGACTCACTTCTGTGATTCTTTGGCTAGCAGCTGTCCTCCCTGATAGGCTGTGTATTCCACATTGCAGGAGCTCTGTGTTTGCTCGCCACTTTATCCACAGTTTTCACCAGATCCAGAGAAAGGGCAGTCAGAGACTGACACCAACATCTATAGCTTAGGTGACAGCAAGGAGAACTGCAGATGACATGTGGTCAGGGTAGCACTTGGGAAATGCAGCATTCAATTACCTCTGACAATCCGGGCAATGACAACCAGCTGGCAGCTGGATATGGAAAAGAAACTGGATTCTAAGTCTAGGAGGCACACCTGACTATAAGATAAAACCTGGCCTCCTCCCTCAGAACGGAGAGTGCTACTGAGGGAGCATGAACATTTTTTCAAGACTTACCCGAACTTCGGCCTCCCGGGGCCTCCCATTGAGGTCACACTTGGACCCATTGCCATAGGTCTGGCTGTGGTAGCGTTTTAGGCGATGCTGCTTGGAGGCCTAGAGAAGACATCAGGCAGGATGGAGGGCCATGAGAAAAAAAGGAAAATAGAAGAACAGTACCACACTCCCACAGGAATCTTGAGACCACAGGAATCTAGGACCCAGGAAACTTGGTCTTGAGGGCCACCAAACCCCAAGAAACACATCAGCTAATCCTGACCCTCCCCTCTTGTCTGGGCTCAGTCTGCAGCTGGGCCTGTCCCCATTCCAATCCCACACTCCTGCCACCTTGGCTGTTTCATCATCCCAGTCGAAGGCTGATTGGTAGTAGCCGAGATAGAGGACATCACCCTTGATCTCTGAATCTGTTAAGATAAGCCACAGTAAAGCATATTATTCTTAAAGAGGTCTAGAAGGGAAGAGATTGGGGAAGGAGGTCACTTCGCATGACAGGATGGTGAAGGCTTAGGGAAAATACAGGAGTGAGTTACCTTCCATATGGTACTGCTGAATGTGGCGTCCATAACAGAATTCATATGTCCACCAGTCCTTGGTCTGACAATTTAAAAAATAAAAACAATCAAGGGGTGCAGAATGCAGATGCCTCTTTTTGGAGCCAGAGTCCATTGACTCCAAATATATAAATTGCCATCTGGTTCTCATCCCTTACTGCCTCACTCATTCTGCAGACTTCACTGAGAAGGGACAGCTGCTTTCGTTTCATGGTTGGAGATACACATCTAAAGTCAGTTTTCCACCTGTGTTCTCTCTCTTTATTTTCATGAGAAGGGATGAGACAGGGCCATGCTATATAGTCCAGGCTGGCCTTGAACCCCCTGCATTAGCATCCTAAGTTCTGGGATTACATGCAAGAGTCCTTCATTGCCCCCCATTAAGATAAACCACCATGGTATCCTTGAAGCACTTAGTTGAAAGAAACACAGAAGACCCCAGATCAAATATTAATCAAATGTCTTCAAATACAGTGAGATCCTGAGGTAGAGAGCCGTCACGACAGGTGGTGACTTTACCAGGGAGGCTTCTCTTCGGAAAGGCCCGTCCCTTTTCTCCCAACACTGCCACTCTTTAGGCATTTTGATCTTGGTTTCACCTATTTTGGGATCTTCTATCCTAATCTGTCCCTGAAGGGTCATTTGTGGGTGCAGTGGTCTTTGCTCCTCACCCCTCATCTGTAAATATATTTAGACCACCAATGGCCTTTCTGTAATGTCTGCAGGTTCCCTGGGTCCTACCCATCCCCCAGCACTCTAGCTCCCAAGACCTCATTCCATCCATCCCAGCTCTTTTCACCTTCAGCAGGCAGGGAGCATCTCTCATTGGGCTCAACAGTTCAGGAATTCCAGGTCCTTGGTAAGCAGGTGCCTCCTCCTCCCTTTCACGCTGGAAGTGAATAGCTCCAGCTGGCAGGCGGCACTCATAGCGCTGTTTGTACTTAGAGGAGACAATCACCACGTCTGAAGCTGGGCTCTGGGAAAGAAGGGTCGGGGAGGGGGATGGAGAGGTAGAGGCTGGGATCAGGAAGAACAACGAGACCCCTCTTCAGACTCTGGGGAATAAGCCACAGGTCCTCCAGCTGTATTCGATGAGTGGAGGAGAGGGCACTCTCACTCCCGCCCGAGTCGGCGTGTTTTCATTGTCAGTGGGACCTGAGGCCGACAGCGGGAAGCCCCACCCCTCCGGGGTGCCTGGTCCCCAGGGAATGGGTCTGCCTGCGGTTCCCGGGAGTCACCGTGCGAACCCTACCTACTCTTCTTACCCCCGTCTCCTGCACCGGACTCCGCAGATGCCCTTTCTCCTTTACCTTTATCCCTCTTCCTCTTTTGCCCAAGACCCTCACCCCTACACCACCTCACCTGCCCTCCCATGACCGGCAACGGCAGGATCTGGATCCCATAACGCATCTCACTCAGCTCCTCCAAGTTCAGGCTCCCAACACCGCCAGTCAGACCTGCAGGTAGCAGGAGCCCCAGAAATAGCAGCGCCAACAGACTGGACAGCAGCGTTTCCGCCGCCATCTTCCGTTCTGGGGCTGATAGCCTGAGATGTTCCTTCCGCCCCAAACCTGGCAGCGGCCTCACCCGCCCATTAGCGCCGCGAGTTCTCATTGGCTACCTTCTCTATCTCTCTTACGTACCCCATCCCCATTTGTGAACGTGTCTCCAAAACGTCCAGGGCACTGGATCAAGGCTGTAAGTAGAATCAATCGCTGTGTGTGATTGGTCAGGCATACCAACCAATCATCAACGATATTAAACCCCCCTCCCTCTCTCCTTATCCCAGAGAGGTATGATATACGCCCTATGTTCTTTAAACTTGTTTGTTCCTAGCCTCACCCGGCTGTCATCCATAGCTTTTCTTATTTTTCATAATTTCTTGAAATACATGCTGCGGTGTATTGAGGTGGATGGGCGGGTGTGGGAAATATCCTTGATAGTTACTGAAAACTTAAAAAAAACCCACCAATAATTAATTAATTAATAATAATAATAATAATTTACTTTTTGGTTTTGTTTTGTTTTATTTTGTTTTGGATAGAGGGTCTCCCTTATAACCCCAGCTGGCCTAGATCTCTCCATGTAGAACACCAGGCTGGCCTCCATCTCACAAAGATCTGCCTGCCACCATACCCTGCTCTTAATACTTTTTGGGTTTTTTGTTTGTTTGTTTGTTTGTTTGTTTGTTTGTTTGTAGACTTGGTCTTTTTTGAGACAGGGTCTCCCTGAAGCCCCAGCTGGCCTGGAACTCACTATGTAGACTAGGCTGGCCTTGAACTCACAGAGATCCACCTGCCTCTGCCTCCGGAGTGCTGGGATTAAAGGCATGCGCCACTACATCCAGCTCTTAATACTTTTTGTAAAAACAATTGCTATACAAAAGCATGCCTCTTTTTCATATATACATACTACTGTAGAACAATCAAATAATTTGTGTCAAAATCTGAAGACCTGCAATAAAATTATTCTGAAGAGCTGGGTACCATGACACATGACTGTAATCCCAGCACTTTGGGAGGCAGAAGCAGGACAATCAGAAATTCAAGGCTATCCAACTCTGCATAGTAAGTTCCAGGCCAGCCTGGAAGATACGAGATCCTGTCTGAAACACACACACGTGTGCCCGCACATACATATGCTCGCACACATACCAGTTTGGTAGAGTGCTTGCTTAGCCCTGGGTTTTTTTCCAGCACCACATAAAGCAAGCATGGTGGTGTGCATCTGTAATCTAAAGCAGTCATCTTTGACTACATAGAATTCTAGTTCAGCCTAGGATACATGAGACCCTGTCTCAAAAGAAGGAGCCAGTCTCATGGCAAATACCTTTAACCCCAGCACATGGGCGGCAGAAGCAGGTGGCTCTCTGTAAGATGGAGGCCAGCCTGGTCTACAAAGCAAGTTCTAGGCCAGCAGCCAGTGCTACATATTAAGACTCTGTTTCAAAAACAAGCAAACAAAGATGAGTTAGAGATAAGTGTAGAGGCCAAGTGTGGAGGTGCATGTCTATAATTACAGGCTGAGGCAAGAAGATGGTCAGTTGGAGGCCAGCCCACCTACACATAGCAGAACCTTGTTAAAAAAGGCGGGGGCGGGGGGGGGACTGGAGAAATGGCTCAGTGGTTAAGAGCACTGGCTGCTCTTGAGGAGGACCTGAGTTTGATTCCCAGCACTCATATGGTGACTACAAACCGTCTGTAACTCCAGTTCCAGGGGAATCCAACGCCCTCTTCTGACCTCCATGAGCATTGCATGACTCCGGTGCACTTCACACATGCAAGGCAGCACACTCATACACATAAAATAAATAAAATATTTTTTAAAGAAAGACGAAGGAGAAGAAGAGAGGAGACAGGAAAAGAATAAAGGAGCTCCAGTTTAAAATAGGGTGGGACTGAACCAGGGAACTTGGGGGAAAGCACCTGTCTTTGTCCAGAACATAAGGCAGAACCCTGTAAGCAAAGAGAAAGGGACTCAAAAAGATGAGAGAAAGAGAAAGAGAAAAAGAAAGAGAGAGAGAGAGAAAGAGAGAAAAGCAGACAACAGCAGCAACATTTTGGAAGCTGGAAGGAAAACAGGAATAGTAACTGATTTAGCAAATCTGAGAATATTTGATTCCTAAACAAAGGTAAGTAAGAGCAATAATACATGTTTGCAAAATCTCCAGTGCCTCAAGGGAGAAAAAGTCCAAAGATTCACACAGGATTCTCTTAACAAAATAGACACAAGTCCTGCTATTAAGCCCTTGGCCTACATGCCACAGCGCTCACACAGACTTTCCAATCAGCTTTTTACAAATCATCACTCCTAAATACACAGATGGCCAAACATCATTAGCTCATTAAAGAGTCTTTATTTATTTATTTATTCTTTTGTGGGTATGTTATCCTGCATGTATGTAAGTGCACTCCGGTCATGCAGTACCCACAAAGGACAGAAGAGGGCATCAGATCCCCTGGAGCTGGAGTTACAGATGGCTGTTAGCCACCATGTGGGTGCTGGGATTGGAACCTGGGTCTTCTGCAAGAGCAGCCAGTGCTCTTACCCACTGAGCCATCTTTCCAGCCCTAGAAAGTCTTTAATACACAAGAAAGAAACAACAACAACAAAAGCAAGTAAGAAAGAAAGAAATTAGGGCTTGGAAAGGTGACTCGGGGGTAAAGTGCTTGCTGCAGAAGTGTGGGGACCTGACTTCAGATCCTCAACACCCACGTAAAAGCGAGGCCTAGTGGCTTGAGTCTGTAACTCCAGTGCAGGGAGCTGGCAAAGACAGGCCAATCCTGGGGTTTGCTGGCCAATCAGTCTAGCTAACTAGGCAAATCAGCAAACTCCAGGTTCAGGGACAGACCCTGCCTCAAAAACTAAGGTGGAGATCAATAGAGAAAAATGTTTACCTTTACCTCTGCTTCTACAAGTATGCACATGTGTAAATACAAATCTTAATATATTTAGATTCCTTTTTTTTTTTTTTTTTTTTGGTCTTTTTGAGACAGGGTCTCCCTGTAGTGGGGCTGGCTTAAAACTCACTATGTAGACCAGGCTGGCCTTGAATTCAAAGTGATCCACCTGCCTCTGCCTCCCAAGTGCTGGGATTAAAAGTGTGCACTACCATGCCCAGCAATATTTTTAGATTCTTAAAAAAAATATGTATATGTGTGTGAGCCTGCATGAGTTTATGTGTACCATGTGCATGCAGGAGCCCTCAGAGGTCAGAAGAGGGCATCAGACCCCCTGAAGCTGGAGTTACAGGTGGTTGAGGGCCACCATGTGGGTGCTGGGAACTAAACTCTGGTCCCTGCAAGAGCAATAAGTACTCTTAACTGCTGAGCCCTCTCTCCAGCCCCATAAATAAAAAATTTTCAGAAAAGTAAATTAGAGGAAACCAAGATTGCAAGGAAGGAAAACAAGTTAAAAATTACAAATTAAATTCAACAATATTCTCACAGAGGATAATATAATGTATCCATAAAACAACACTAAACTTTTAGTTTTTTGCTCCAGGAGATCAAACCCAGGACTTATGTATGATAGGCAAGTGATCTACAATGAAATACATTCCCATTTGACACAAGGTGTTGTTATGTAGCCCAGGCTGAATTTGAATTCCTGATCCTCCTGTTTCCACCTCCCAAGGTCTGTGGTCAGAGTCATGAACTACCACACCTAGCATCTAGAAGGCTATTTTATATTATTATTAGTTTTTTAAAATTATTTTTTATTTTATGTGTATGAGTGTTTTGCTTGCATGGATGTAAGTGCACCACACATGTGTAGTGCTTGTGGAGGTTAGAAAAGGGCATTGGATGCCCTAGACCTGGAGTTAAGGACAGTGGGTTAGCTGCCATGTGGGTGCTAAGAACTGGATCTGGGTTCTCTGCAAGAGCAGCCAATGCTCTTAATCACTGAGCCATCTCTCCAGGCCTATATTATTTATTTTTAAATAAAGTTTTTTTAATATTTAAAAAAAATTTATTTATTATTTTTATTTTAAGGAAGAGGATACTAGAAGAGTTCTAGAGTAATTCTCCATGAAAATGTTTATTAATTATTAAAGGAAGAAACATTTGCAAGGAAGAAATTTGGCATCCGATCTTAACAGATGATATTCGAACCCCAGTCTTCTGCAAGAACAGCCAGTGTTCTTAACTGCTGAGCCATCTCTCCAGCTCCCAGACATGATAGTTTGTGGTTGTAATTTCAACACTTAGAAGGTTGTGGGAAAAAGATTGTTGTAACTTCGAAGCAGCCTGGTCTACATAGCGAGTTTCAGGTCAATCAAGGCTACATATTAAGACCCTGTCTTAAAAAAATGAAAGGCCAGGCATGGTGGTGCACGCCTTTAAACCGAATACTCAGGAGGCCAAGGCCAGTGAATCTCTGTGAGTTCAAGGTCAGCCTGGTATACATAGTAAGTTCCAGACCAGCTAGGGCTACAGAGAGATCCTGTCTCAAAAAAATGACCAAAAAAAAAAAAAAAAAAAAAAAAAAGAAAGAAAGAGGAAAAAAAATTGAACATCAGCAATTTTAAAAGCTCCCCCTTGGTGGAGGGGCAAGCAGCATACATGGATGAACATTCAAACAACACTGAATTTATCAATCCAGTGGGATTTCTAAGACAATAAAAATGCCTCTAGTGCATCACTCACGTGATGGCAATGCCATCTCAATACAGAAAGTGTTACGTGTAATTCCTTGCTCCCCTTAGGAAAACAACAGTTCATGTCTTTGCAATTAAGACTTGCCAATATTCTGAGCTTTTCAATAATCATAGCTTATTGCTCTTTCAAGGATTTCTAAATTACAAAATATCACGCAAGTATGTTTAAGCTTTTTAAAAATCACTTTTGTTGTTTAAGACTAAATGTCTAGTTGCCATTTGGAAAAGAGGTCAGGTGAAATTTGGAATCATCTTTGTAAGGTCTAAATTATACTTGTTCCTGTGAAAGATAGTTGTTTTTTCTAAAATACAAATCAGTATGCCTAAATTAACTAGTTATAAGGAAAGAATTCATAGTCATGGAACTGGAGAGATGACTCAGTGGTTAGGAACG